GCGGTTCAATCCCCCAGCACCACATGCCAGCCAGCCCCGCCCCCTGGTGGGCTGAGCTGGCCACGCACACACAAAATAAATAAATAAATAAATAAATATTTAAAAAAAAAAAAAAAGAAAGTCTTTGGTAATCTAGTGCCATTCGTTCCTGGACACCCACCTCTACAGCTCACAATTAGCTTTACAAGTAGAGAGTCACAGAGGGAAAAATACACAGACCTTGCAGAACGATTAACAACTACAGACTGACATTTAGAAATTAAGTTGCATGGCCGGGAAACAATCAAGCCAAAAGTGCAGGGCTTACTACAAGTCCAAGGGGGCAGGAGCACTGCAGGGCACGGCCCTGTGTTGTGATCTGTCTAATTTCTCTATAAGGTTTGAGTAAGAAACTTTCAGATATTTGATTTCCATGAGATAAAATTGTTTCTGCAACAGATTGCTACTCTTCAAGCCAGGAGTCATTATTTCACAGAGGAGAAGAAATGTGGAGATTCCTAGTGCTTGCAAATTTTCAGGTAGTTATGACAGAAAGGAGCCTTTGGTGAATGCCTGCTCATTCTTGGTGTCTTGAAGGAGGACTGTAAGGGTACCTTTGGGAGTGCTCAGCACATATAAAATCTGATTGTTCTCAGAGGAATGAGTCAGTGGTTTTAATTTTTTGGCTTTCCTGACTGAGTATAAAAATGTTCCGCTCCTTCACAGCCTTCACAACATAGGATGAAGCTGGTACTGTGAGCTCCACCGGCCCTTTCCCTTTTGCAGTGCATCCATAGAAAGGAGAAGGGTCTAGCATGGGGTGAAGTAGGTGGCCACATAAGAACATCCAGCAAGCCAAGCATGGTGGCACACACCTGTGATTCCAGCACTTGGGACACTGAGGCAGAAGGATCGCTGAGAGTTTGAGGCCAGCCAGCCTGGGCTGCACAGTGAGTCCAAGGCCAACCTGAGCTACATAAACATCCCAAAACAACCCTCCAAAAATACCACCCCCCCCCAAAAAAAAAAAAAACCCAAAGAAACACCCAGCAGAAGAAAGAAATGACATCAGAAAACTTTTCCTATAACTTGCCATTCAGCCTAATAAAGTGAGAGTGCACTTACTAGGCTCAGTTTAGAAGTCATCATAGCACCAGAGCAAGGCACTGGGTTGTGCACACAGGAGCACGCACAGCTCCACAGTACCTCTGAGGGGGTGGTGTGGAAAAGCCGCTCTTCATGTACACGCGTGTAGCCAGATTCAACAGAAAGTTGTATACCAGATGGATCCTGGCTCCACCAGTTCCTTAGCTGCATGACCCTGGCCAGATTACTGAGTTTGTCTGAACCTCAGTTTCCTCTTCTTTGACCCAGGATGACTTTTTTTTTTTTTTTTTTTTTTGGCGGAACCAGGGATTGAACTCAGGCCTTTGCGCTTGCCAGGGAAGTGCTTATTCCACTGAGCCATCTCCCTGGCCCCTTTTTTGTCTTTTTGAGACAGGGTTTCACTATGCAGTTTGGCCTTGAACTCATTTTGAAGTCCAGGCTGGCCACAAACTCACAGTGATGCTCCTGCCTCAGCCTCCCCTTGTGCTAGGAGTACAGGCATGCATCACCATGCCTAGCAGGAATGACATATGTAAGAGTTAAAGGTAATAATATGTGCTGCACCTTGCTGGGCACATGACATTCATCCCACCGGACAATTAGTCCTCTTCGCATAGCCTCTCACAGCCAACAGTTTCCTCATGTGAAACTCTAGGCCAGCACTGTCTTATGGAGCTCTTTGACAAAGGAAATATTCTGTTTCTGCTCTGTCCGTTGTGGCTGTGGAACCCTTGGGATTAGAATTATTTAAGCTTAAGTAGCTGCGTGTGACGACTAGTGGTTGCTGTATTAGTGCAGCCCTAGACATTACCCCGCTGTGGAGGTCTGAGCAGAGAGTAGGCTGTGTCTGGGCAAAGGCGTACAGAGAGGTTTCTGGAGGCGCTAAGTGTTGTGTGGTCAGAAAAGCCAGAGTGATACTGGGAGGATGCAAGTCCTACTGAGCCTGGCAAGGAGAGCCTTCTGGGGAGATGGTGGAGACTGCTGGCATTACCCTGACAGCGGCAACAGCAGCAGCAGAGTGCTAGATACTTTGCAGATTCAGAGTTACTGTTTATTTTGGAAGCCAATTGTAAAATAAAAGAAAGCAATAGGGCAGAGTGAAAATTCAAATGTCTCTAATTAGAGGTTAGGGAGCCTGACAGGAGAAAGCCTGCCCAGCCTCAGTAAAATGATGACAACAGTTTCCAAGATGATGGCAAGTGTTGGGTTATACAGTGCTTTTGACAATAAGAGTGAGATCCGGGAAGCTAGCTTGGCAGTCTAAGCACCTGCCTGCAGGCACAAGGACCCAGGTTCCATCCTTAGTACTGCATGCCATGCTGCCACCAGCACGCCTGTAATCCTAGCACTGGGGAGGCTGAGACAGGAGGATCACTACAAGTCCAAGCTGTGTAGTGAGATCCTGTACCAAATAAATAAATAAACAATAAAAAATAAAAATTAAGAAAAAATGAAAAAAAAGTGTGGGGGCACCCCCCAGAGAGCTGGGTCCCTCTTGCGAAAGAGCCCTTGCAGTGAACGATTCTGCTTCTAGTGTATTTTAGTGTATGTTGTAGCCTTTTAGAGCATCTGAATAGCATGCATAGAGAAATCAAAGGACATTAGGTTAAACTGTTCCACATTTTCAGTTAGGATCTTGGCTGGTGAGCCTTCTCTTCACCTGGAAGAGTGTACTTTTCTTTGACATTTGAGCTCTTTTCCCCTTCTCTGATGTTTACCTCACTGCCCTTTTTACCTCCTCACTGAAGCAAAAAGAACAGAGCTTTGGCTAATTACTCTTAGATCAAATAATCCTGGTTATTGTAATTGGTCATTGTCCGAAAACACTGGGTTCTTCTTAGCCCTGAGGTTGCCTGGCGCAGCTTAGTTAGCTAACTATTCCCGGAATGTCTCTATTATCTGTTTTACTTTGCAAAAGAAACTAGGGATTTGTTGAAGGCTGGTAATAAAAGTCTGCCCTGGTCTGAGCTGGGCTGCATGGAGAGGGCCTGGGAAAGCATGACCTCTATGAATCAAGTCCCCTCCAACGGCCACTCAATGATGCTATTTGGTTTCCCTGTGTCAGAGAATAATAAGCCCACTACCGTTTTCTTGTGGGCCAGCTCTCCTGCGTTCTCAGGGCCTGGGGCAAGGCTCCAGGACACAAAGCAATTTTAATGGCCAAACTCACTGAAAATAAAATGGTTCATAGAGAAAAAAACTAACACAGTGGGGGAGGGGCTTGCTCTCCCAGAGCCATCCTAGGCAGCGCGGGCTCCCAGGCCAGGGTGCTAGGGGCTGTCTGCAGCAGAAGGAGGGCCACAGAAAGTATCTTCTCCCTGCCTGCACATAGCTCCCACTGCAGGGCTCACCTGTTCCATACCATCTGAAGTCTCTGTGGTTTAGGCATCAGGAACCATTCTGGAAAGCACATAGACAAACAAAAAACAAAAGATTCAATCTGTGGTCAGAAATATTATTAAAATTATAAATGCTCCCCTTGATTTGGGGCAAGAGGATTTAAGTATCGGGTGAGTTAACCAATGATTTTTTATTTTTATTTTTTGGCAGAGCCAAGGATTGAACTCAGGCCCTTGCGCTTATCAGGGATAACCAATGATTCCCCCCCCCCGCCCCCGGAACCGGGGATTGAACTCAGGCCCTTGCACTTGCCAGGGAAGCACTTATTCCACGGATCCATCTTCCCAGCCCCCACCAATGATTTTTTTTTTTAAGGATTTTTTTTCTCAGAATGCCTTAAGGGCAGGTTTGGCTGGCTTGAGTTGTGGGGATCAAACCACAGCAACCTGAGCCTGACTGCTTTGTTGAAGCAGCCACTTAAAGAACTGAGCTAAGGGGCAGGCCCCCCCAACCAATGATTTTTTAAGGCCTCTTCTAACTCTGAATTTTTATGACCCAGTGGGAGGGAGATCACCATCGTGGGTTGATTTGTGTGCCCCTTTATTTCTTACGTTAAAGTCCTAACTCCAAACACACCTTGGAAAATAATGTTACATGGAAACAAAGTCCTGCCAGTCATAATTAGTTAAGATGTTTCTTTTTTCTTTTTTTCTGTATTTTTTAGGGAAGGGTCTATAGGGTGTTCAGGGTCTCACTACTAGATAGGCCTCGTAGTGATTCTCCTGTTACAGCCTCCCAAGTGGTGGCCTTACAGGCACATACCACCATGCCTGATTGAACTCCTGGTCCCTGTGCCTACTTGTGGGCACTTTAATCCACTAAGCTATTTGGCCGGCCCTGAAATTAGTTAAGATGTGATCCCCGAGTTTAGCAAAAATACAATTTGACTGACATCTGTATAGAAAGAGAAAATTCTGCTGGGTGTGGTGGCGCACACCTATAAGCCCAGCATTTGAGAGGCTGAGAGAGGAGGACTGCTGCCAGTTCAAGTCCAGCTGGGCTACACAGGGAGTTCAAGGCCAACCTGAACTGCATACTGAGACCCTGTCCCAAAAAGACAAAAAATAAATAAATAAATAAATAAAGGGGGCCGGAGAGATGGCTCAGTGGAATAAGACCTTCACTGGCAAGCACAAGGGCCTGAGTTCAATCCCTGGTTCCACCAAAAAAAAATAAATAAATAATAAAAATAAAAAAAAATTAAAAAAAAATTAAAAAAAAATAAAAAAAGACAAAAAAAAGAAAGAAAGAAAAGGAAAGAAATAAAGGGAAAATGTGGATGCAGAAGGAGAGCGGTATCTGAGAACAAGATGTGTGGAAAAGCAAGGAGAAGACAGCCATCTGCAGGCCAGGAAGAGGGCCCTGGCACAGATGTCCCTCAGCTTATCAGAAGGCCCTCAGACACCTCTGTGCCAGACTTCCCAACCTGGGACTGTGAGGTGAAACATTTTTGTTGCTTAAACCACTGAATTTATAGTACTTTGCTATGGCAGCTGAGGCCAACTGATGAGTCCAAATATTCACTGAAGTCAACGAACATTTATTTAACATGTAGTACGTGCAGAGCATGTGCCAAGGGCTAAGAGAAGACAAAGAAATCAAAAGAAACTCTCCAGCTCTAACAGAGCTGACAGTTCGTTTGGGAGAACAAAGCACATGCACAGGAAAGGCCACGTGACAAATGATGGGGCAAGGGCTCACAGACTCAGAAGTGGTAACAAGGAAGGGGGGGAATTTTATATGCCACTGAGTACAGATGGCAGTGGCTCTGGGCTTGAATAATCCAAAATGGGTAATAGAAATTATAATTTAATTTGGAGCATTCTATAACACTTATATTTAGCTACATGTGTTCTTATTGCTTTTGGCATTGACACCAGCCCAATTAAAATCACAATGAAAGGTACAATTTTTCATCCTAGAAACAGTAAGGGACACAGAAGAACCGTGGAGGAAGCTAGCTGATGCTGCTTACCAAATTCCTACTTTGTCAGCCAAATTGAGAAAAAAGCACTTCAACTCTCATTTTAAATGATATATTTGCCTTATACTTTTTAAAGGCCTGAAACATAGTTGTTGTGTTGTAAAAGTCTGTTTTTCCAAGTCCTGTATGAATGGAACAAACCAAGACTGTTTGTCACAGCTAAGAACTTAACTGTACTTGGACAAAAAAAATCACTCATGATGATGTTAGCAATCACGCTGGTATGATCATAGGAAGACCTAGAAGACTACGCATGAGATGGTGTTCATGGTTCTATGCCTATTTTCTCAAAAATAAGTTTAATAAAAAATGTGTAAAGTTGGCTTTCTATACCTTATTGTTGCTCATTGATAGGTTTCCCATTCAAGGACTCGAATAACAGACTTGCAAAGAAGTTTTAAATAACTCAGTAGGGCAATTATACTGAATATGTACAGATCGTTTCCTCCTGCCATTATCTAAACGATAAAGTGTAACAACCACACACATAGCATTTACATTGTAGCAGCGATTACAAGTGTTGAGGTGATTCTGAGGAATGCGTATGGAGGCTGTGCAGAGGTTACATGTAGATCCTACCCCACTTTACAGAAGCGAGCTGAGCCTCTGCAGGGTTTGGAATCTGAGGGGATCCTGCAGCTGAGCTCTACAGGTATGGAAGGACGACACCATCACTCTATAATTTCAAGAGTAAATTCCATTGAAAGCTGAATTTGTAGCCCCAAGAACTGTAGAGTGAAAGGAGTAATCAAAGAAAGTAGCCTAAGCTGAGTTTCCAAGGTCAGATACAATTAAGTGTGAGCCACTCTGCTGGTGGTTTATAGTCCCAGGTGGGGACTAAGGCGGCTTTTGTAAGTGTAGGTTGTTTACTCTCTGCTCAGTATGATTGCATCTAATTTCAGACTAACTTGTAAAGATAAGAATATCTGGCATTTGTTAATATGTTTACTTCCCAATTACTTTCTGTAGCCTATTTACAGTTCTTCCCTGGCCAAACAAAATTAAAATACTTTTTCATTTAGTCATAGCTAAATTTCTAATCAACATAGTGAAATCCATTTCAGTGCTCTTCCGTGTTCTGTTTTTCTCTTCTTAGATCTCTAGGAGCTTGCTTCTTGGGCCATAGTATCTTCATCCTGTTTCCAGGTTAAGGGCTGCTCCTAGAAGTTGGGTGCTAGTTGAGTTAGTTTGAGTACTGACAGTGTCTTTGGCTTTGCTGACACTGTAAGCGAAACACTTCACCACTGTCACCCTGGGCTTCTGCACCTCAAGGTCCATTCACCTCACAAGGGTGCTGACATAATTCAACAGACAGTGCTTTCTTTGGAGAATTAGGCAAAATAAATCCTGTTTGTTTTTCCTTCCTCTTTCTCCTCTAAAATCAATGGGTAGAGCAGTGTGTGGTGAGGCCTTTGGACCCTGGACTCAGCCACAGCTGTGAGACTCCAAGATGTTGTCTAACCTCCCGGGATCTCAGTTCTCTCTTGTTCCCACAGGGGATACTACAGTTCCCACTGCACAGGACGGGGTAGCCATCAGGAAGTCTGATGTACTTTGCTTCTCAGCTGTTTCTGCTTGGTTATGCTCGCTGTTCTGCTTTGTTTTCTTGAGACAGGGCCTGGCCTTAAACTAACCATACAGCCTGGGCTGGCCTTGAACTCATGGTAATCTTCCTGCCTCAGCCTCCTGAGTGTTGGGATTGCAGGCTGTGCCAACACACCCAATTCGTGTGCACTTTGGAAAGCTTTCTGTAACTATTTCCTTCTGCTGAAGTTCTGACTCGCTCCAAGTTCCTATTCTGATAAACCTAATTTGATTTCTTTTGGATCCTCAGTGTGAGCCAGAGGTGTGTTTCTCAGGTGTGTGTAGTAACATGAACACAAGCCCAGGTTGAATTCACCTTTCTGTAGGTTAGGATCTTTGGGACTGTGGTGGAAAACCGTTTAACCTCTGTCCTTGCGTAACTGAGAAAGTTTTCTTTTCTTTTTTCTTTCTTTTTTTCTTTTTTTCTTTTTTTTTTTTTTTGCGGAACTGGGGATTGAATTCAGGCCCTTGCACTTGCCAGGCAAGCACTTATTCTACTGAGCCATTTCCTGGGCTCCCTACCATTTTTTTTTTTTTTTGGTAATTTTAGGGAAGGGTCACAGGGTGGTCAGGGTCTCAGTACTAGATCAGACTCTCAGTGATCAGCCTGTTTACAGCCTCCTGAGAGCTGAAGTTACAGGCATATGCCACCACGCATAGTCTCAATTGCAGTCTCAGTGTGTCCTGGAGGACAGGGCCAGCACAGCAGGCCTGGGGATTGAACCCCAGGCCCCTGAGCCTGCTTACACACACTTTAATCTACTGAGCTATTTGGCCAGCCCTAAAGTTTTCAAATCTATGAAATGGCCATTCTTTCCAACTGCTGAAAGGAATAGGTATGAAAGCAATTGGTATGTAGCTGGGGCTCAGAAACGTTAGGTTAGCCCAAGTCCTTTTTTCCCTCTTATTCTCAGCCCTTGTCTTGCTGCTTGGGAGTATATTAGCCTCACCTGGGGAGCTTTTAAAAGCAAGGCAGCCCTGGCTCCACCCCCTAGAGAGTCTGATTTAACTAGTCTGGGAGGGTTCAGGCACTGGTTAGTTGTTGTGTTATTACGCTTTTAATGGCCTCCAGATGTTTCTAGTGAGGGCAGGGCCTAACACTCACCAGCAACTCGACATGCTTCCTTGAGCCTCATTTCCTTGTCTGTGACAACTCAAGTTGTGAAAATTTCATTAATCAATGTAGATAAAAATTGCAGAGCTCAGTGTTTGACTAATACTTAATAAGTTATTCCAAGATGTGAAACAGGAAGTGTGACAAGTGAGAAATCAGCTTTAGTAAATTCTACCAGAAAGGATGATCTGTAAGTGTTGCCCCAGGGCCCAGGAGGGGAGGCATTTTCAGCTTGAGACCGTGCACACTGATGGTGCTGCGTCTTCCCATATCTATTCTGTAGCTACATTTAGTGGAGATGGAGCCATTTATGTAGCC